GAGTCCAGGCTGTACCAGTCATTTGCCTGCATTCATTTCTTGTAATCAGGTGGCTGAGACATTTCAGCTGCAATAGTGAGCTATGGAGGGCTCTAGTAAGATTAAGTGTGAGGATGTGAAATGTACTTAAAGGACACCCATTGGCTGAAGTGCAATGCTGAGTTTTACCTTCACTCTTTTACTGGCATTGTTCTGCAGGGTCAAGAAGGGGATGCTCCAGGCACTTCTAGTGGTTACAACTGTCCAGGAGAAGTGGAAGCATCTGGCTGCCAGCACCTCTCTAGCCAGCACCCAGTGTTGGCCTGTGGGTATCTTTACTACCTGTGAGCTGCATCCTGTGATGCAGACATCTGACTTCAGTCCTAGCACCAGGCTTGCGAGAGCCCACAAACAGTGACTCAGAGAAAGGTATGGAGGTCAGGAGGAACTCATAAGGGAAGAAGAAGCATGCTTTCTCTTAGAGTTGATATGAGAGTGACTCTGTGCCCAAGAGACTCGTAGTTATCCTGTTTAGGTCCCAGGGTTACCTGGGTGGGAAAGGGCCATTGCTGGAAAAGACACTTGTGAACTTAACAGGTGCATGAACTAGAGAAGACAACTTTTTAAAACCTGTTTGATGGGGTACATGTCACTTGCCATGCAGAAGACCCTCATCAATAGAGATCACCACAAAGCCACTAAAAATTTACTTTGTCCCCCACCCTATTACTGTTACTAAAAATTGGCTCTAAGATCCTATTCCCTACAATTTCTCTGTGTATAACTGTCATGAGTAGGCAAAATTGTGAAGTATGCAGTCGAGGGGAGAAATAAAGAATGTCCTCGTGCTTATTCCCCTTTCAGTGCTTTATTCACTCAAATTACTCAATACAGTTTCACTCTATAGGTTCTTAATCAAGAAACTGACAATCCTTAATGCTTGGCACTGCAATAGACATAATCAATTCACAGCAAACAATTCTACATTAATTATAAGCAGTGAAAAACACACTTAATTAAGATATTCTGATGACAGGACATTCCCTCTGCATGCTAAGTTCAAAAGTCTTAAGCCTTAGGCTTTATTTCCAGAAGATGCACACTAACTCAGACCGTGATGACTAAGTCTGGAACCAAGGCAGGTTTTTCCTGGTGTGGAATGTATGACTGGTTGAGGAGAGGGTTGTAGGGAGAAGTTGCAGCTCTCATAAAGGTCCAGATGAAGCAGTAGAGGTTGAGAGCACTGAGCATCATGTAGAGGCTCAGGAAATGATGAGAAGTGATGGAATGT